CCTCTAGGGTAGAAAGTATCTCCAGTCTCCAGGTGAGGCCAATGAAGCTCAGAGAACCCTAATAACTGAGCCCAAGGTTCGAGTTGGAAGCAGGATTCTAAAACAGGTTGAGCTGGCTCCAAATTCCTGGGGAATTGATATTCCTCACACCAACAAGGAAAACTGGTCTGTGGCTTCTGCATTTCACCCAGCTTTAATAATCATTGAGGGACATGCTTAAGTTAGACCAAAAGGCAGGGGTCCCCAACCTCCCTCCTGATCTGTGGACACCATTAACATTACCTCCTGAGGTCAGCCTCCTGTCTCCCCAACCCCCCTATCCTGGTCCTTGGAAAAATTGTCTTACACGAAACTGGTCCTTGGTGCCAAAAAGTTGCAGACTGCTGCTTGAAGATATCCCGAAGTCAGAGAGAGAGAGAGAGAGACAGAGAGACAGAGAGACAGAGAGACAGAGAGACAGAGAGACAGAGAGAGAGAGACAGAGACAGAGAGAGAAAGACAGAGACAGAGAGAGAGAAACAGAGACAGAGACAGACAGAGAGAAACATCCATGTAAGAGAGAAACATCGATCAGTTGCCTCCCATATGTGCCCTGACCAGGAATTGAACCCACAACCTTTTGATGCATGGGAGGACGCTCCAACCAACTTAGCCACCCAGCCCAGGCTGGGTGCTGAGGATTTCTAAACCCATCTTTCTCATGATTGAACTGGCATTTGTAATACACTTTTATTTAATTAATTGTAAAACTGTTGGAAAAATAGGAAGTGCTGTTCTGTTTTGGAAAACTTCCATTCTATGCTGCAGTGCTTTTGCTTCAGATTCATAAAACTGAATGCCCTGCATCAGGATAATAAGTGAAAGTGTAACCCAGGGAAGGCAGGAATAAACAGGATGTCTCACGCAAATTCTAAATTTGTTATCCAAGCAAACCTATGTGTACTTGCAGTTAGGATGTTAGTTAGGAAGATGTTAGAAACTTCTGACGTTTTCTTGCTTAGTTTTCCTTTTATTATGTGCTGTGATAGCAATACAAAAGAATACATGTAACATGTTATACAGCATAATAATAAAATGAACACTCGTGAGCCCTGATTAAAGAACATTGACACTGTTTGTTTGCTTTGTATTTTTGTTTGTTTGTTTACTGCTCTAACCCCAGGACATAGAATGATACCTGGTATGCAGTAGCTTAATAAATATGTTTAAATGTATGCATGAATCAGTTTGATTTCTCCTTCTTTATATCATTAGCCCCAGCCTCTCCTCAGAAGAAACAACTATCTTATATTAAGATTTAATACTCCCTTGCATTTTTGTTTTTCTTGCATATATGTTCTTTACTTTTACTTGTTTTTGAACATTATGTAATTGACTTGTATGTATGTGTGTTTTTATGAGTTATGTCTTTTAAGCAACATTAGCTTGTGATATTCACTTATGTATACCTATATTCTGTTCATTGCTGAGCTATATTTTATTGAATGACTGTGCCATGATTTATATCCTCTCTCCTGTCAGTGGATGTTTATAACTTCTGCTTTTACAAACAAGGCTGCTCTCATCCTTTCTGCACATGCCTCCTGGTACAAATGTGCATGAGCTTCTCTAGAATATAAACCTGGGAGAAGGACTGCACTTGGAAGTTTCATGTCCAATGTCCAAAGTTCAGCCCATGAGTCAGAACTGCAATGTACCCTTTGTCCACACTAGGCCATGGTCAGTGAGAGTACTGTTTAAAATATTTTGCCAAAGAGAGGAAGAGGGAGGTAGGCAGAAATTGACCTGGCGAGGTCAGGATATATCACAGAACTCTGATCCAAGTGGGTTATAGTTAGGAAAAGTTCAGATTCTAAAATCATCTTCATTATTTCTCTTCTCCTTTCTCCCACTTTATAGTTATTTTGTGCAGGATGTATTTTATTAAACTCATATCTAATAAAAATGTTGATGACTTCAGTCTTTAAGCATTGATTATATATTTAAATGTTTTTTCCCAATACCCTTTTAATTTTATTTTAATTTATTTTTTCAAACACATTTGTCTCTGCCTACCCCCCACCACTTTCTCTTGCCCCCTCCCTCCTTTCCTCCCTCAGCTCTTCCCCTTTGGTTTTGTCCATGAGTCCTTGCTCTATGTTCCTTGACTTTCCCCATCCCTTCCTTTTCCCCAGCCCCGCTCCCTCTTGTCTCTGTTGATTTCTTTTCCTTTCAGTGTTGCTGGTCTAATTTTCCTTGCATCTTTGTATTGTTGGTTAGGTTCCGTTTATAGGTGAGATCATATAGTATTTGTCTTTCGCCCCCTGGCTTATTTCGCTTAGCATGATGCTCTCCAGTTCCATCCATGCTGTCGCGAAGTTTAGTAGTTCTTTTAAATGTTTTGAACTGTATTTTAAATTTTAGCATGGATGAAAATTTCTGTTTCCTAAAAGTTCTTTTCAAATAGCCCTCTTATTTACTTTATGTAGGTTTAAGTTTTGTTTATCTAATATTTATTTTGCAACTATATACTAATAATTGATGATGATAAAGTCACTATCATCCTCATTATCTCATTTACCCATATATACTTTTATGCCTTTCAAAACACATTCATGTCTTTGAGGTGCTTTGTCATCTGTAGCAATCTGTACTCTGCTTTATTATATTATCTACTATGTTATTTTACAGTTCCTTTTTTCATTTCTTTCTTCTCTACTAGAGAGTAAGTTGCTTAGAGGCAAGGATAATATCTTAATCAACACTATATCCCCATCACCTAGTCCTGTACCTACCTAGTCTATATGGCTAGGTTCTAGAAGTTGAATTGAATCAATATAATTTCAACCTCCAGTTTCATAAGATGATTAGCCCACACTTTGGAGTCAGACTTACCTAGGATGGAATCTTAGTTCACTTAATTTTCCTGCATATATATTCCCTGTCCCAAAAAAAGGGAAGATGCAGAGCTACTTGACAGGGTTGGTGGGAAGACTAAATGAGATTATGTATATGAAATGGCCTGGCACATACAGTGCCTAAATGCATGTTCTTCTAATTTTATTTGAACTGTCTGCATTAGTTACAGATGTCAAAAAAGTGGGAAGAAGCTGAAGCCACTTGGAAAAAAAGAAAAGAAAAGAGAAACAAACAAAAACTTCTGCTTTTCTCCTTATTTCATGAATATGAATGGGGGGTACAATTTTTACCCAGAGAAATAACATTTTTAGCCAAAGGAATGATATTTTTAGCATTTGGCTCATTAGTATATGGGAAGTGAAACTCTTTCCCTGTGGAATTTGTCACCTTGTTAGTCTTGGTTTGGTGGACAGACTCCTGCTGGCTCTCCAGTTAGGATAGGAAAGGGAAGGCTTATGGGGAGCAAAGGCAGGCCACTATAGCCAGCTGCTGGATTTGCATATGCTCAGAACTTTTTTGATTGTTTTTTGTTTACTTGGACCTTGAATTAAGGCTAATATTTGTGTCTTAGAGATAAAATGATTGTCAAGTATAGCCTGACTAAAAGCTTTCTTTGCCCTTGCCCTGCCAGGGCTGCTCATTGGTATATTGAAGGGAAGAAATCATTTCATACTTTTTTAAAAAATTCTGAGGACTGTGCTAAACATGATTACCAAAGAACCATAGGTTGAAACTGAAGGTGAGTAGCAAAAAGTCAATAGGGTAATTTAATCTTAGTTGGATTTGGAGAAAGCTAGTCCTGGACTTGTAGTCAAATAGTCCTGGACTTCTCTCTTGAGTCTGACTTTCTTCATCTGATACAAGGAGAAAAAAAAACATCTCACAGAGTTGTTTTGCAGTGTTGAATCACCCAACACAGCAAACAGGTTGCCATTAGGGCTTATTTTCCTTCCTTACTGAGGAAGAAATAATCATAAAAAGTAGTAGCTGCATTCCTGTAGATGAGAATATGGACAATTATTGTCTACCTGAGGCAGAATAATCCAAGAGGTCAGTAAAGTTTTGTTTAATGCTTAAATATAAGACGTAAAAAAGAAAAAATAACCTTATGGTAGTAAGAACCATGTTTAAACTTTAATTAATTACTATGGGAGACTAAGAACTACCCATTCCATTAATGTTTTAGGACTGGCTTTCTGGTCCTCTTTTTTCACATCCTTCTAGAAGGATTCAGACATTGATCTTCTTAGAGATAGACAGCTAGACTTTGTGACCTCATAAGCTTCATCCTAGCCCAAAGAATCTATGAGTAATGTATTGGCCAAGTGTTGAGATGGTAGCCTAAGTGATTTTGGAATCACTGTCCTTCATTTTTCAACAAAAGCTTCAGGCATGGGGGTTCTGCTGTTTTATGTTGTAGATGGGTGCTGGGGACATATCCATGTGATCTAAAGAAACACCTAAGGAAAGTGAGGAAATGGAAAAAAAGACCAAAGAAGACTGGTATGATAATACTAATTATGATCCCTCCCTTGTGTACTCATTTCAAGGGCTTTTTATTCTTTTACCTAATTTATGCCATTGCTCACAACAGTAGCTCAGTAGTACGGGTGATGTTATTCTTATTTTCAGGTGAAAGTGAGGCTCAGAGACTAGAACAAAACACGTCAAACTGCTTTGATGTTTGATCTGGTTTGGCCAAAGGTCTCTCTTGGGATAAGGTAACATCATAAGACTGGGTTCATACCATTTATTTGTTCTGAAATTGTTGTCTGACCATCATAGTAAGTTAGATGCCTTAACTTCAGGTTTCTGCCTTCATCCTTCCCTCATGTAGACATAATGCATAAGATTGTCTGATCTCAGAGAACTTGTCTAATTCCTTACCAGGATAGCTAAAGATTCTGTCCATGTAACAGGGAACCCTGCAAATATCATCCCTAGGAGAATTCCCAGGAAAATTCAGCTTCACACTGGCTCTATTAAGCAATGAATAATAATAATGTACACATATAGTTTACTCCTCAAGACCTCAGACTTCTACCCTCCTATTTCTGCCAGGTACTGAGGTGTATTGTATTATTTCTCTTGTGTCTTTCCAGTTTGGAGACTTCCAGGGACCATGTTCTGCCCATTGACTATTACTTTCCACCCCAGAAGACCTGCCTGATCTGTGGGGATGAAGCTTCTGGCTGTCATTATGGAGCTCTCACTTGTGGAAGCTGCAAAGTCTTCTTTAAAAGAGCTGCTGAAGGTAAATAGTCTTGAACACTCACTCCTATTTCCCTTTCTCCTTTATCTTCTGGAGAGAGGCAACAATTTTCCAGGGCCCAGGATTTTATCATCTCAGGGACAAGGTCACTGGCAGGGCCCCTCAAAGAATCTAAGAGCCTAAAGAAGCAAGATTTTATATTTGCTGGTCCCATGGCTTTGGCAGCCTTGATGGTGCGGACAATGTAGGCAATGAAAGTGGTACCAGCTGGTGATTGGACCTTGGTCTTTCTTAGGAACGAAAGAAAAATTAATGATTTGAAAAGATTTAATTTCCATTCTGTTTGTGCTCCACTCTGCTGCCTAATGAGGGAAAAGTTGTCCTTATTAGAGAATTTAGAAGTAGAGATACCCCAACTGAGTCCCCAGCCTATACTTTATGGTGAATACAAGACTGTTTCTTACCAAAGTCTCCCTGGCTTCAGCCCGAAAACGGAAGTGTTCTCACCTTAAACAGACCATCACTCTGTGCACCTGCTCCTTCTTGCTGCTGCTTCCTTGAGGCTCCTTTGCATAAATAGCTTCCAGGTAGAAAAGACCCAGAGTGATGAAACACATTCTTCTCTCCAAAAACCGGCCCTTGAGAGCCTGTCCATTGGTACAGAGCCCCAAGCTAAGATGCAAGCTCTGTTTGGCTATGCGGATTGAATCCCTGGCTTCTTAGTCTTATTTATATAAGAAAACTCATGTCTGGTCAGCAAACAGAGGTGCTCAGCCTACATTCTATAGCAGGAACTCCCATTTCCCAACCTTGTATATATGCTATTGCCTCCTTCCTTCCAAGTCAACTTGGGCCTAAGCCTTTTATACACTTCACCCTCCATCCTGTACTAGTAGCTTCCTTCTCAAAGGCACACTGATGAATAAACAGCCTGTGAACAGTGATGCTCTACTCAGGGAGCAGACCCAGTTGCTAAATACCGGTATCTGCTCCTTCCCCCACTTTCCACAAAGGATGTACTTCCTTCCAAGACCTTTTTCTTCCCTATAACTGGCCTAAAAATGTTGAATTCCAGTGTCAGAACACAAACAGTCTTTCATTATGTAAGGACTACAAAACCTGTGGACAATTTTGAAAGTGACAGCTACAAAAAGCCACAACTTTTGTCAGGAATGTCATGACACCCACCAGAAACATCAGAGAGTTCTTGGAATTCAGAGAAAATGTAGAAAGTGGGCATCCTTTAAACTGTAGAAAGTTGGAATGATGGTTGGATTTCCATCATTTTGGCCAGGTGGCAGAGATACCTATAAAATGGACAGCTGTTATTTTTTTACAGTCCCCAAAGCAACAAGGAGGCAGCATTTATTATTCCTGAAAACATGTTGCATGCAGACCCCTGAGTGGCCCATTGCTACTGCTTATATTGGCTAGTATTGTATAAGGTCTGGGGCCTCAGTGCCTAGGCCTATGCAGTTTGGAAAGAGACGCAGAGAGCAGTGCCTTCCTTTCTTAAGAGTACTTACTCTTAAAGTACTCTTTACTTCAGGAAAGGAAATGAGAAGCAGCTCCAAAGATTTCATATGCCTCTTCCTTCCATGGTGAGTACCTGCCTCTTTCCCGTGCCCTGTCATCCAGTAGACCCTGCCTGTAGTACAAAGAATGAGGCAGAACATGTCTACAGCTTCTGTGTTACTAAGCTCGAGCACCACAGCAATCATAGTCATATCAGATAGCAAAAGAGTTCAAGTAAGCAAGAAAACAAGTACATTCAATAGACAGATTAGATTGCATTTGATGCTGCCTCTGGGTTTTATAAATCTGGGTCATGATATTTCTGTTTTTGGAAAATGGGAAATAATCAACCATATTGTGAAAGAGAAGATTTTGATGTCATAACATATTCCACATGGGAGCTTTCTGGAGAAGTTGTCTGAAGGAAGGAGGCAGGCAGAAGGGCAGCTGGTAGGGCTGTCTGGGAGGAACTCTGATATGAATATTGGGCTGTTTGACAAAAAGGAAGAGAAGAGGGGGAGGAGTAATCACTCAACTTACAGAACGCTTGGAAATCCAGTAAAGTCTCAAATGCTCCAGTCCCTAGAACCACTTAAGTTAGAGAACTTGGTTATATTTTCTTTGAGAAAATGAGCCATTGTGAGTTCATGGGACCAAATTATCTTGACTGCTTGATGTATGAAAAATAACCAATGGATTTCTTGCAAAACTATGAAGCACCTTGGTTCCTTTAGAATGTGGACCCCAAGTTCCAGTTCTGAGCCTTTTGAGGGACAGGATAAGGTGGTTTTAAAAATACACACACAAAATATACAAAACAAAGAAAAATTATTGATGTTTTTATTTTCCTCTCCTCTGTAAAACTTAGTGGCTAGAGTTTACTGCCATCATTATCTCTATTTGAAGGCAGGGTGCTGTCTTATTACCCTCAGAGAACATTTATTGATTTGGTTTTTTCTCTGTTTTTACAATGCATCTTTATCTCCCAGATGGCTTTTCTGAAGGTGATTCTGAATCTGCCTTGTTCAAACTTGGAATTCCACGTGTGTTGCTGAGAGTGGGAGCACAGATCTTTCTCTTCCCCACTTGTTTGTCAGTGTCAGTTAACTCAGACTGAGTATTCGTAGTGTTGATTACCACTTTATTCATGGTTTCAGAAATCTCTGGACTGGGCACAGGTACAAGACTTAAAAGCCTGGCATGTCAGACAGAAATCCATTTCTAGCTTTGGTAGTTCATAAAGCATGAGGCTTTAATGCTGTCATTGGTGCAAGGCTTAGCACAAAGTCGATTGTAATATAGCCAGGTTTTCCTGCTGAGACAAAAGAAGAGAAAGCACCACATTTTCTCATGGTCAGTAATACTGGGAGTTTTGGGTGAGAGTGAGGCTAGTCAGGGAAGGATCTGAACATTTTGAGGTAAAAGATAATGGTACTAGACCATTGGGGTAAAATAACTAAAATCTGGTTGATGGAAACTTAGTGAGAGAGTGAAAGTGTTTGTGCGTGCGTACACACAGGCAGTTGGGGGAATTTGTGAGAGCTAGAAATAGTCATGAGGAGAATCAGCTAGCTGGTAAAGTGGGTGGGATGAGCAGGGAGGTGAAAGGGGGAAAACATATTGGATGCTATCTAAAATGCCATGAATTCTGAGGAAAGTTATGTCTATATTCAGAGATAGAGGCTCAGAGAGGCTTTAGTTTTGTGACCTTGGATATGAAATTTCCCCCTTTAGACCTCAGTTTTCCCTATCTGTGAAATAAAGGAGTTAACCTAGATATTTTAAAGATGTTCTTCCAGCTTAAAACTTTGGTGACAATTCTACAATTTACAAACATCATTATTATTTCAGCAAACACATATGCATTTGTACCTCTATGTACTTTTGGTTTTCCTTTCCTTGTAGATGACAAATCCTAGCTTCCATGCTCTGAAAAATCAACCTTCATATAGGGATAGGGTCAGCTGAGAGAGTACAGTCTACATGGACTGAGTTAAAACTCATGACTGAGATTCCCTCTTCCCCCCACATTGTGACCATGGCTGGGTAACTTCCACTGTTTTCCATTTTCTCATCTGGAAAATCAGGATATGAATCCCCATCTCTACTTCATCATGTTTCAAAGAGAGTTAATTAATTCATCGTGTGCACTATGTGCGCAAGGATTTACTATTTTTCAGACATTTTCTAGTAAAACATTGGAGATTGGACATCCATTTGTTTTGTACACATGGAGCACTGTTTGGTACACATCATAAATTGAAACTGTAGTTTACATTCTGAACTCAAAGAATTACACCATCGTCACTGATGTTTACAATATGTCCCAATTTAGTATCCTTGGCAAATTTTATGTAAGTATGGCTTTGATTCTCTCTCTTGTCCCAGGTTTTTGTGAGGGAAGAAATGTAAGTGAACCCTTATTGAACTCTTTCTGTCCTTTAAATCCACTCTTTCCCACCTCAACTCATGTGGAATTGAATGTTACTTCTTGTTTGGAATCTTGCACAGAATTTTTATGCATATCAGTGTCCTCTTCACTCCCTGACTTTTTGGGTAACATTTCCCAGAGGCAACTTAACTATGCTAGGAGGATCTACTTTCAGCTTCAACAGAGCCTTCATCAGGTATCTTTGGCCAAGGAGTTGACTGATCTTGATTGCACAAGGCCAAGTGATGTTTTCACAAAGCTCCTCTTATCTTTTATCTCTTTCTGGTTTTCTTAAATGTGATAGCCAGATTTTCAATCAGGGGTTGGCAAACTTTCTGTAAGGGGCCAGGTAATAAATACCGGGGTAGGTGAGCAAAAGTAGGTTTATAGTTGTAATACAAATAAATAATACAATAAGTAATAATATAAGAATAAATGGTGTTTTGCATACTCACAACTGTAAACCTACTTTTGCCCTCCCCTGTATATTAATGGCTTTGCAGGCCATATCTTCTCTGACTCCACTACTCAGCTCTGCGTTTGTGAAAGTGGGAAAGCAGCCTTAAACAATATGTAAACTTATAGGTGTGGCTGTATTCCAATAAAATTTTATGGGCCCTGAAATTTGAATTTCATTTAACTTGTACATGCTGTTAAATACTATTTTTGAGGTTTTTTCAACAATTTAAAGTCTAAAAATTATTCACAGCTATTGAGCCACACAAAAATAAGTGGCACACTGGATTTGGCTTATGGACTATAGTTTGCTGTCTTGTGCTTTAGATGGTTTCTCCTGTGCTTACAAGCCTGCATGGTAAAATTCACTTTTTTTTTTTTTTTTTGGTCTCCTGGTATTTAGTAACCATATAAGTTATCTAATTTTAAACATTCTTCTGAGTCAACCAGACAAAAGGTGCATGTCTTGCTTTCCGAGAATTCCTGATTTGGTGGCCTCTATGTCATGCTTTTTTTTTTTTAATAAACAGGAGGAAAATAAACACATGTAAGAATGCTGTAAGAGAATATTTTTTTATGATGACCTAGTAGATCACTCCTCCTTGCAATACCCAGAGAAGTTGAAAATTCACACATTTTG